CTCCACGAGGGGAGGGGGGGGGGCAAAAGTAGCTAACATTGATTAATGAACATCCCCAAAGTTTCGTTTCAAAATATTAATTAGATAAAATTTTAGAGGGGATGGAAGGGACTTTTAGGACACCCTGTATGATTACAAGCTTCTCAAATTCTCACATTTGTTTATTTTCGTCAGAGTAAGTGAAGTTTGCTACCATGTATTGAACCCTAAAAACACTTATACAGGGTTATCCAAAAGTCACCTACCACCCCTGTAACTTTTTTCCTAATTGAGATAGAAGTTTGAAACTTTGGGAATGTTCCTCGGTTTAAGGTAGCAACTTTTTGGTCCAACTTTTTTTTTCAAATGGCAACCCCATCTTTTGTGATACCTCATTCAAAAGATAATTAAAAAAGAAGATTTTTGGCGCAAACCGCAGGTCAAAATGTTGATTTTTGACAAAATGGCGGCCGGTCAAAGTTCGTAATGGCGGAAATTTGGCATCTCCGTTTTTTATCGGCGGATTGGTCTGAAACTCTGAATCCCAGGGTTTTTTGGGACGAGCTAAACGATTCTGGCATTAGTTTTCCAGAAATGTCAGTCCTTTTCAAAATGGCTGCAGTTAAAATGGCGGCTTAGAGCGGGAAGTGGATATTTAGGCTGCTTATCGTCGGATTTGTATGAGATTTGGTATCCGGGGGTATTTCGGCACGAGAAGAACGAATCTTTCGTTGGATTCTTGAAATTTTTAAGAACTTTAAAATGGCGGAAAAAATGCGAATGGCGATGGTGGATGCGGATTTTCCGTTATTTTACCGCCACCATTTTGACGATATTCAGTGTTTCAAAAATCCAATGAAAGATTTTTTTCGAGCCAAAAACCACCAGAGTATTGACTTTTGTGCAAATCCATCGGTAAACAGCCTTGATATGGATTTTCCGTCATTTTTTCTCCGCCATTTTAAAGTTTTTAAAAATTTCAAAATTCCAATGAAAGATTCGTTCTTCTCGTGCCGAAATACCCCCGGATACCAGGTCTCATACAAATCCGACGATAAGCAGCCTAAACATCCACTTCCCGCTCTAAGCCGCCATTTTAACCGCCGCCATTTTGAAAAGGACTGACATTTCTGGAAAACCAATGCCAGAATCGTTTAGCTCGTCCCAAAAAACCCTAGGATTCTGAGTTTCAGACCAATCCGCCGATAAAAAACGGAGATGCCAAATTACCGCCATTTTAAACTTTGACCGGCCGCCATTTTGTCAAAAATCAACATTTTGACCTGCGGTTTGCGCCAAAAATTTTCTTTCTTAATTATCTTTTGAATGAGGTATCACAAAAGGGGGGTTGCCATTTGAAAAAAAAATTATTCCCCGCTCCCCTTAAGGGGGACCAAAAAGTTGCTACTTTAAACCAAGGAACATTCCCAAAGTTTCAAACTTCTATCTCAATTAGGAAAAAAGTTAATGGGGGTGGTAGGTGACTTTTGGATAACCCTGTATTAAATTTAATATGTCATTTCACATCTGCTAAAGGATGTAGATGTTAGAGTCTAAAGCTTTAAAGTGTTAAAACGCGAATTTCCTAGGCAAAACTAGTTTTTACAGAGGTTCTTTGACAAAACGAGACAAGGCAAGTTTCAAAGTTTTTGGAAAAACTTTGATGGAAAATCCCCCTCACCTTCATTTGCAGTCAAAAATGTGTCCCAATGTGAGCAGTTGCTAAAGTAAGCGGCTCAGATGTTCTCAAGAAATCCTATGACTATTATTATGAAGGAAGAAAACAGGACTACATGAAAAGTGCTATTTTTGCAATTTTCTGACATCCCACGTATAATAGTTACCCGACCTATGTTGTCAATTCTTTCGTTCACGACAACTATCGTTAGATTTACATTAGCCTATTCAAATTTTGTAATTTTGTCCATTTTGGTCTTGTAAAGAACTGTATAGATTTTTGGTTAAATCGCACTTACCGTTTACTTGTAAACGCTAATTAACGTAAGTGCCCTACTTATGCTGTTTTCTACTAATCTGTTTTTATGAAAGTTCCACTCCTTGGTTTCCTTGGTAACCTTTGTTTGCTATCAGCTGATATTTTATTTCAATTTATTTTTTTCTTTTTTTACATTTTTTTTCTTTCTTTTTTTAAATAAATCATTGCCAGGTTAGTTCTAATTTTTTTGCCAGCATTTATACTGTGTCTGTAAATTGTTGTTTTTTCACCCAATAAAAAAAAAAAAAAAAAAAAAAAAAAAAAAATTCTACCCTCCCCCCCTCAGCTCATTTTTTCTGTTGGCTCCATCACCCTCTCCCCTCAACTCATTTTTCTATCGATTTTATCATTTTTTTTATGGCATGTCTTGCTCCCCTACCAGTATTTTTTCGGGATTATAGATATTTTAGCGGCCTCTAGACCCGTGACTCCAGTCACGGGCATTTCGCTAGTAAGCATATGAGAACACTAGCCGTTTCCATTGTTTTATGTTCCTGTGAGCTTTTTCTTTATCTTTTTTTTTTAGTTTATCTGTTGTTAGATTTTTGAAACTTAATTTTTAAATATTTTACCGAATTGCATCTAAAGCCCTTCAAAATATGTATACTTTCATGATTTTGTCGCTTTTTTTAATTTATTAGGATTAGTTAAACTCATTAATTTTCTTTTTCAGCTATCGCAATTTATTGGACAGCTGGCGGTTATGGAATCAGCGAGCTCTCTTTGATATTTCTTTGAATGCGTCCAAACCTCCTCCTCAACAGGTGTTCGTTTCTTGCAATTTTTGTGGTAAAAGTATCTCTGCATATATGCAGGGTCTTACTCGCGGAAGGGGACCATTCGTTCGATTAGGTGTTACTCCAAACAAATTAAAGGTAATTTTATAATGATTAAATTCCCTTCTTCTATTTAAAAAATGAAACTTAATTAAAACAGCTGAAGGGTTATTTTTAAAATTGCAGTCGCAACTGGCTCCCTGAAGATAATGGAAAGTAGTCTATCAAAACATATGTTCAAGTATTAACAACCGAAGGTAAGGAAATTTAAAATCTATTAAAAATCACGAATCTTTCTAGTTCGATAGGTATTTTATGAAATTCTATTGTGTAAGGATTATGAAAATGCTATTCGATTGAAGCGCCGCAATTTTACTAGCTGTCATATACAGTTGAATACTTCTTTCATTAAAAGGGAATTTAGTTTCATGTAACATAGGATATAGACCGTGGGTAGCAAGGAGTGAGCCCCCCCCCCCTCTCTTTGGGAATTTTGAAGATGGTAATTCTCTTGAAGCTGTCAACTAGTAGAATAAGATTTTTTCTGTGTACGCGAATTCCATCGTGGTGGGGAGGGGGAGTAAGCCCCCCCCTCCCTATACCCCCCCAAAAATTGCTCAGAATTCCGACTTTACCGCGAATTTTCCCATTTTTGGGAGGCTCTATTTTAGGGCAAATCTCCACTTGACCAATCTGAAAGCTCATGAAATTTCGATTTCTAAAAGTTGTGAGTGACGTTGGTCATGACCCGCAGCAACCCCAAAATGAGGGGGGGGGGCCCCTACTATGTCAAAATATCTCAAATTCCCGCGAGAATGACCGTGTCGCCGCGTTTTGTCGCCAATAACAAGGAGAAGGCTTGTAATATCGTAAAATTGTTTATTCTTAAAATGATAGAGCATATATTTTCCATTCGAGGGACGGCCTGATCTCTCGTAAGGGGAGGGGGGGCCGGCAGTAGGGTGGATCGAAATTTTCTACTTTGACAGGGATAACGCATATCAACGAAAAAAACGGTGTCCAATAGGCTTAATATGAAGTACCAAATATTTTGCGCATCAAATTGACCTTCAAGTACTCCAGATAGGCCTAAAAGACTTAATTTTTTAATAGATTACATGAAAGGTTCAAACACATGTTTCCTTACGGATTTTGTCAAGTTGCTGGTCTCTAGGGTGAAAATTTCGTCCGTTTTTGACGTATCGTGCACGACTAAAGCACTATTGACCTGTTTTCACCTGATAAATAGTCGGAAGCGCCTACCAGAATTAGAGTACCTTTATAGGAAGAGTATGGACAGCTCGATTTATGTAACTCTTAGGGCCCACAAGGGCGACAACGTGAAAGACAAAAATCACTAGAAGAGTGCAGCTGTCAACCTATGCATGTGGAAGATCACTCAATATGATGGACAGCGAATTACAAACAAGCTTCTTTAAGGATTATAACTTTGAAACTGAGAAAATGTAAGCAAAATCAAAGTTTTATACGTGCTTTTATAATTTCAAATAGTTGAAATGTGAAAATTATTACCACTGGATAATTCGAGTTTATAGGTTGGCTCCCCTTATGGGCCCCAAGAGCCACATGACCTGATCAATCCTAACCTCCAAATTTTCGAGTTGTCCATATTCCCCCTTGAAAGGTACTCTATCCAGAATGGCCCATCTACAGTAATGTCGGGAAAGTGAGCGTGAATAGTCAATTCCAATAAATTTTGCTGAATTAAGACCCCTTAGCCATTAAATTTCGTCCGTTTTGGCGTATTCCTAACCGTTTAGTACCTGTTATGTTCAATAAATGAATGAACGCACTTTGAGGAAGTAGCTATTTATTCGTAGTTACTAATTAACAAGACTTAATTAGGAACACGCCATTCCGGCTGCAGCAGCTGATAACAGATAACCTTCACCATGCGCATGCGCACTATCCTTTCAGGTGTGGCATTACAGTGATTGCCACCCCGACTACACTAATACTAGATTTCACTATTACAACAACTCCCTTTTTTTTTTTTTGACACAGTTTAAACATACAATTTGTCTCTAATTTTTTTACTTAGTTACATAATACTTAAGATAATTTGGAGGTTTTCTAATTCTTTGCTCTTCTATAATTATTCTGCCTCGCATTAAACCTCTACCTCGTGATTTTACATGATCCTTTCTGGAATCTTGGTAATTTTATTTGAACTTTGAGCAACTGGACTTTGATAATCTGAACTAATGCTTTCTTGTTGATCATTATCAGAATTTCGATCAATTTGAGAAGTACTTGGACTTTCAAATGAAAATTGGATATCTTCTTCTAACTCATTTTCTAAAGCCCTTTGTTTTTGTACTTCTGCTGTTTTTCCACCACGATGCAATTATCTTTATTGTCCTCTGTTTGAGGTTTTTTCAAGATTTTATTACCGCCATTTAGACTATTTTCATTCTGACAGTCTTTTCTAGGTTTGATAAATAATCGATTTCTCCTGTATTGTTTTCCATTTTTACTTTCTATTACATAAGATCAGGGTTGTTGACATTTTTAAACAATTTTGCGAGGTTCCCATGCACCTTTCCATAATTTTTTAAAGAATACTTCGTCTTCTGCTTGGAATTCTGATAATTCTCTATGACCCTTGTGATATTTTTTTCATTTACTCCACCTGCTCAGTTTTCAAGTTATGAAATTTCTCATATGGGACAGCTTGTGGTTTTAGTCTAGATTTATCAACATACATTTTTGTTCTTAGATTACGCGACATTAACAGTTTTGCAGGGGAAGGCATTTTGCCTTTAGCTGAATTTCTAAAATTTAACAAAGCTATGTGGGGATCTTGCTTTGATTCTACACATTTCTTTAACATTTTCTTCAGTGTTTGAATTGTTCTTTCAACTAAACCATTGGATTGAGCATACTAAGGACTTGAAGTTTCAGATTTTATTGACCACAGATTACAAAATTTAATACATTCCTCAGAATTAAATGGAGGCCCATCATCAGAAAAAATAATTTCAGGAATTCCATTCCTAGCAAATATAGATTTTACCTGTGTTATGAGGCTACTGGCCTTAGTACTACTGATTTTTGCTATTTCTGGATATTGAGAATAGTAATCCACTATCAATATGTACAGATCTTTGTTGAATTACATATAATCCATGCCTACTTTTTGATAAGGATAATCTGCAATTTCGTCCAGTTTCCAGACTGGTCAAGTAGAGATTTGCCCTAAAACAAACCTTTCCTAGAAAAATGAGAAAATTCGCGGAAAAGTCAGCGTTCTGAGCAAATTTGGGGTGTAGAGGGGGAAGGGGCTTATTCTCCCTCCCCCCCCTACCACGATAGAATTCGCGTACACATAAAAAATCTTGTTTTACAAGTTGAGAGCTTCAAAAAAATCACCATCCTCAAAATTCCCTTGGGGGGGGGGGGGGGGGGGAAGGTACCCCTTGCTGGCCCACGGAGCAATAATGTTATGACGGGGAAATTTTTCAGACTTGCCAAGAATAACTTAATCTGCCTCAGCCTCAAGTTTCTGTTTTCAATTTAAACAGAAACATCAATCACGTTACAAAGAACGTAGTGAATCAAGTCATCCACCCCATTTATGCACACCATAATTTTTTCCACCTTAATCTTATCAATCAATGGTTACTAAATTATTCTCAGGTGTTGCATGTTTATCATCGATTGGCTCTAGTTCTTCATTATCCATTTTTTTATTGTCTATTTTTACTTTCTTGTTTAGATAACTTGCTGTCCGAACTGCAGGAAACCACAACCAAGATGCGCAATCTGTCTAGTCAATATGGGCACAGCATCCTGTTACTCTGGCCCTAACAGTCTATTAGCCGTCTCTAACAATAAGTTTGATTCAAAGTTATCAGAATTCTCCTCATGGTTCACTTGGTGTCAGACTTGCAGACATGGTGGTCATGCATTACATATGACTCAATGGTTCAAGTAAGTTTTCGCATTTCGAAACTTTAATCAAGAATCAATTTAGTCAAGATTAAAAAAATTATGATACGCAATTCGTTTTCACCTCTCTTTTTTCAATGACTTGACCAGAAAGACAAATCTCTGCTTTAAAGAGCTTTGCAAATTACTCTGGCAGCTGTAATTAACGACTATAAACTTTCTACTTTCTAGGGGGTCTAACTGTACCCCTGGAGGCCTAGAAGGTATACATACTCGAATTTTGCAAAGACATTGAATAGAGTAGACCGTGCACTCCCTATCTCCGCCGTGTCAGCTGAGCGAGGCAACTTCGGCGGGACTCTGTAATGGGCGGGCGGGGTGGGAGCTCGCGACTGAGCCCCACACAGCATGACCCGGCGTTGCGCGTACTTGGAAAAATTAGTTGCGCGCTCGGATTTTCGCGAATTACTCGTTTCCACTTCATTTTTCGGCAAAATTTACAAGGACCACATGTTAATAGCATGAAATTTACTATTACTCTGAACAATTTTCGTTTCTCTACAGTCATTACTGACTGGAAAAAACGCCTCATAAATGAAAATATGAGGAAAGTGACCTGCGTATCAGACGGATGTTCTTATAATGCGTGCAGCTTGTAAAGATGACGGCGTGGACAAGAAGTAATTTCGTAAAAGGTACAATAAGGATTTAAAATGAGGCCAATCATATAAATCAAGGGTAAAAACGAGGATTAGTGTTATGTATTGTACATAAAAAGGCATATAAAAGTTACAAGAGAGGTACTTAAAGCTATTGTCCATCTTGATCTAAGAGAAAGATTAATGAAAAGCTGCAAAAGAGGGGCAACGATCTCGGCAGTTTCAAAGTACCGAGATTTAAGATTATTCCACTGAAAAAGATAATGTTCAAGCATTCTTATCAAACTAATTTGCGAGTCGCAACTTAATGTTATTTAATCTGCTCAAAAATTTCAAAATCAATACTTCAGTCACTTATTTATGACTGGCGATCGTGGATACTGTTTTTTTTTCAAAAGTATGGGTATAAGTAATTGCTCTTAATTCCTTTGCATTTTTAGGCGGCTCTGTGATTAAGTCGCTGCGCTCGAGAAGGGCACGCACCTCTTTTTAACGATGTTCCAGAATCTATGTCGCTCACATTTGTTTAGTAGAGTAGTTTCTAATGGTAAATTTCAAGGATTTTTTTCACAGGAAATTGCAGAATTATGAAAAATAACTCAGTAGAAATTTCAACGAAATCCATGAATTTCCTTCATTGATAAAATATTAGTACCTAGAGATTTTGAACCACCGCAACCAAGAAGTGCCATTCTTGCACCCAGTGCCTCAATTTTTCTGCACATTGCAGTGCAGTGAATTCTATGAAATGAGTTTTTATCATGTCCTTACTTTCCTCTACACAATTAAAAAAACACAGCACTTATGCTATGTTTTCAGCAAAATGCTGAGGGCATTTACTTAATATTACATTTATCACAAATAAATATCACAGACTGAAACAACACTATTTTGAAATCGAAGACACTAAGTTGACTACAATTTTCAATAAAGAACTGCTATTTCTGGCTCATTTTAGGAAGAACAAAATATGCCATTAGTTCATGATCCGTTGTTGTGTTGTGTATTGGTTTCCTGTGTAGATAGGTAATAAAACAAATGAACCAAAAATAGTAGTTCCTTAAGGCTAAATGTAGTCAAAGTTTAAAAATTATCATCGGGACATAATCATTCGTCTCTTGCCCGGTTCATCAAGAATGTGCTCATGTAGGCATACCATTAATTGAGAGTTGTGTGATGTTTAATCTTAAAAACTAAAACACATCTTCACCCAGAGACATTTGATTAAAATTAAAAAACACATCAGCCGAAAATATTCGCTCTAATCAATTAATAATTAAAGATTTCGGAGCCGAACCGTACCAACCTCGTATAAGCGCACTGTTCGTTTACCGCGAGCTGGGGACGGCTGGGGCTCACTTACCTCACCGGTGCCGTTCCGGTGTTCCCGCACTCATCGGTCGGCTCGGCATGCGAATGGAACAGAAGTGGCCACCGCTCCATTTCACAGCGCACAGTCTACTCTATTCAATGTCTTTGGAATTTTGAGTCGAGTTGACTCAACTCCGGTGCTGATTATGTGTTTTTTTTTTTTTTGAGCTGAAAACGCCGTGACAAATGGGGGCTTTGCAGATGAACTGACAGCTGTGGGAGCAGTCGCCCAATGATATCATCCATAGGTTTTCAGATGACGTATTCAGCCAAAAACAACGGCAAATGGTCAAAAGCAGCTGAAAATATCCGAAATTAGGTGCTGTAATGACATCATCAGCTAAAAATAGGCATAAGTGATGACTAAAAAGAAGAAAGGATCGCTAGCTATGTGCATGAGGATAAGGGTGTGTGTGTGTGTACGTGTCATTAATGTCCTAACATCAGAATGTTTATTTCTTGTATGAGCTAAAATGTTGGCTCTTTGTGTAATGTAGTCAAATTGATCCTTGAAGATTGTGTTTGTATTGTAGAACAGAATCTAACTTGGTACAGACGCATGGAACTACTTTCATCTTGTGGCAGTTTAAAAGTGTCAACTTCTTTATGGTTTTTTTTTTTTTTTTTTTTTTTTTTTTTTTTTTTTTTTTGCAGGGATCACTTAGAGTGTCCAGTAACTGCATGTACCTGTCGCTGCTTTTCCTTAGATGCTGCTAGTCGAATGAATTCTATTCACCCTGTTGTATCATGAATCCTGCCTCAGGGGAAACACTTCTGTTTTTCTGCTCAGCGGGAGAACTGCGGAAGCTGCCGCCTCCGATCGGGCTGAAATAATTCGTTGGATGAATCCATCAGGACCGTATTTTTGTTTCTTCCAATGCACTGGGGAAACACCCTCAAAACATTCTGCAAAGTCCGGTCTTGAGCGCGCATTGACAGTGCGCGCCGGGAGGGCTAGGCGAGGCATAGGACCGGCCAAAACCGGACCGGACGGAATTATGTGGGGGTGCTTTCGAGGCGCGGAAAAAACAAAAAAACACAGTCCTAATGGATTCATCCAAAGAGTTTGTACGAAATTTTTCAGCCTAATCGGAAGCGGCTACTTGGGAAGTTCCCCTTTTTAGAAACAAGCTCCCAGCTATCTTGAGCTGCGCAAGTTTGTAATACATGTTTTTATTGTAAGACTGAATCTTAAGACTGTTGATTTGTAAGTAAGCAATTATGTTGGTATTCAATAGAATTATTTCTTACACTCTTTTTGAAAAATATTCTTCTACCTCAAAAATGAAACATTTCCGAATTGTATAAGCTGCTTGAAATAAAAAAGAAAACAGAAATTAAGAATGGCTCAAACCGGTTCTAAAACTTACTCTAATACTCTCTCTCAGATAACCGCATTTGAAATGGAAGCAAGCATCGAAACTGGTCTGACTCATTTTTAATTCCTTTTATGCAAAAGAGTCACTTCTATAATTTTAAATTTTAACTTTTGACAAATCTTGTGCAGTACATATTGATGTTTTCATTCTTCCTTTAACTCTCTCCTTACGAAAAAACTAAATATAGGGTTTCCAGTAACTGATTTTTCTCACAATCAGTTTTGTTTTCTCCTCACTTCTGCTCTCTATTTTTCACTTCCTTCATTCTTCTCTTCACTTCTCAATTTCACCATATAACTGCAAGTTAGTAACTTCAATCTGAATTTGAACGAAAAAGTTGAGACTTGAGTACTTTTAATTTCTAAAATAGTAGTCGATTTCAGAACTGTGCAGATCGTTTAGATGTGCGTTGTTAATCTTTGTTTCTAAGTTGAAATTTCACAAGTTCATTGGTTTCAAAACTGCAAATTAATACTGCTAAATACTGTGACTAAGCACTAAATTTCTGTCTGTGCATGTAGTACAAGTTCAATTTTCCTCAATTGCTAATTGTCAAATTCTTTTAAAACTGCTCTTAAATCATTACTCTAAATTCAATTTACTAAGAAATAACTTCCTCTATAATATTTTTGACTTAAACTCTGCTCCTTCCATTTCTTCGTTGTCTTTTGCAAAAAAAAGGGGGTAAAGGATAAGTCAAAAATAGAAAAAGGGGAGGTGTTAGTTAGCCTGGGTTGGTGTCAACCAGAACAGGTTGGCAACACGGCCCCGAGAGGGGAAAGACTCATCATGGCGTCGGCCGACCAATTGCTTGTAATGTGAACGTGTCCTTTCATTTTTTGAATACAATATGGACCAATTCACAAAACATAGTTTGTTTCTTTCCACCCACCACCTCTAAACAAATGCAGTATTTGATGTGCATAAAATACATGTTTCTAGTACTGGTATAGGATCGTATTTTTTATTTACCTCGAGTATTCTTTCCTTGTTTTACTGCTAGGTTTTTCTGCTGTTTCTTTCTTTACTGGAAATCACAAGTTGATAAATTTTACCCATATCTAGATGATTTTTTCGATATTTACTGCCCTACCTTAATGAAGCAGAGAATTATTACGCTTGTGTTGAATATAATTTACAAGAAAAAATATTGAAAACTTCAAGATAGAGCGTAATTCTAAAACATTAAAACTCATTAAGAGGCCTTTTGCCTTTAAGCCTTTTTGTGGGACCTAGGATTTGAGTCAGCTTTCGCAAGTTAATTGAGGCTTGAAAAAATTCTTTTCATACGTGAATTAGTAGAAAAGCCAAATTCAAAGCTTTAAAATGCTAGTGAATATCTGAAAAACCTTATATCAGGATTTTTTTCTTCTTTTTTGAGAGAGTGGCTACTTACTTAGGTACCTTTTAAAGAGGTCACCGCGTGGAAACCTATTTTACACCTTCCTACTGATGTATTTGATTCTACCGATTTATTCCTATCATCGATGGTTCTTAATTCTACTTGTAAAGTAAGAATTAACATATTTACACCTAGGTACCTGTTTTAGGTACATGATACTAGCCGTGGAGGGCGCACTTTGCGCTTAGTGTCTCTCGTTGCGCGCGCCATTCTCGGATGTTTTGCGGCTTTTGTATTGCAGATACGACCTAGCGGCCGAATATTTCGCGCTTCGGGGCCGTAAATCGGCGTTCTCCATGGGGAAGCAGTGTTATTTTGTATAAAAACCTCAAAGAGCCGTATGCAAAAACGACATTTTTCGCCCCCCCACTAAAACTTATTCAAACTTCGTCTATCAGTTACTAATATTGGAGCGCTTCATTCCCCAAATTTTCAGACCCCCAAAAAATTTTGGGGGGGCGCTAGGGGGGGTGGAAGTCAAAACCTGTGACCCTCGATATCTTCCGAACGAAACAAGATATTGAGGCCCGGTTTGGACGAAAAATCGTCTAAAATTGCATACTTTAAGATTCTA